TTATTTTAGGGCTCTATATTTTTATTAGAGCTATAGCATAATCACTCAATCATTTCATTCTTTAATTTAATGTAGCAATTGTGTTTGACTTATGTCAGAAATAACAATCTCTACATGCTAATAAAAAAGTTACAAGTTGCGAAAAAGCGAAATAACAGTTAATTCAAGGAGGTCCGAAGGGATGCTAATGGTCGCAACGGTACGTCTTACGTTAATTTGTGGTCGGTTTAGAAATTTATTTTAGCGTAGGCGGTACAACTGAATATCGAGGTAAACGCTGCACTTTGTGACAAAAGCATGAAACTCGGTACACATGTTTATTAGGTCCAAATAAAACTTTTGACCCGCAGCACCCACCGAAATTTTCGTGTGGGTTCAAAATTTGAACACTTTTGTTCAAAAGGGTGTTCAAGATTTTAAACCTGTAAAAATTGACGAATTTCGGCATTCTAGGGGTCGTTTTTGAATGATTTAGGGTCGCTGGTGCTAATGGAGGCATTAAAAAGTTGCATATCTGACCCTTAGGCCCCAAATTTGGAGTATTTTCAAAATAACGGTTAAATTTTGAATTTGATAGTTTTAACCCTGCGTGATGTTTCGGATGTCGATTCCAGCTAATTTGGACGTGCACTACACGCTAGAAATGTTATATTGAAGTTAAAACAGTTTCTGGTGTGTAAATAGGCCGTTAATCGTTCAATAATTTGTTCAAAATTTGGAAATGCCATACTTGAAGGATATTTTGCCGTTCTTGGTGTCGTTTCCATATAATTTGTGGTTGCTGATGCTGATTTTGTATTCAGAAAACAGATGCGACTCATAGTTGGGCCCTTTTCATACTATTTTACCTATTAAGAGGGAATGTTCGGCGCAGTCATGCCCTTGTTGCCCCGGATTGCAACAACTATTGAATGACAAAGAAAGACGAAAGAGAGGGGCATTTCATTAAGATTCGGAAGTGGACATGTTCTCTGACGGGATATGTCGCCTATGTTTCCATTATTGCCCTCCCGTCATCGTTTGTTGGGAAATCTGTACTTCCAGTCAGTCTTGAGTTCACTCCACGACAAGTAACATCACGCAGCGAGCTAGTTCCGTCCGACTCGTGTCCCTGGAAATGAGGATATTGCAACGATACCGTGAAACGCGATCGATCGCGACGCAGTGCCTGGGCTTTTCCTGAAGTCGCCAAGGCAGCCCCCAAAGTACATCAGACGGCGGGCGATACTATTAGGCCGCGAGTCACAGGCGTTTTAGGCCCTGCGCGTCGCTGTAGGAACTCTGCGAGACCGTTACCACCATGACCTGACTAGCCAGAAGCTGGTGGTTCTGGCGGCGCCAGTCTCACTGGTCAGCGGTGCGCTGGCAAGTGTGTTGTTTATGCCAGAGCAATTCAACAAAAAACTTGTGTGTTCTGCCAGTAATCCAGTGCTTGCGAAGCGTAACACGAGCTATCTATCTCTTGGTACGAACTTGGAGCAGTTACCTATGCAGTACCCTATGCATACACGCTAGAGGCCGGTTATCTGGTGCAACAACTCAACGAATGGAGGGGATTTTAAAGCTGCTTTCATTCATTACCAAGCAAAGTGGCACAAAGCCTGTGCATCGAAGTTCCAAGGGACTAAATTTGATAAACTTTTACTAAAAGTGTAGTCTTCTACCAGTGCTATTGATGTACCTGAAGAGGCACTAGACTGGCGGCCAGAACCAGCTTCTGGATGGTCATGGTGGTAACGGTCTCTCAATATGCGCTTAGAGTTCCTACAGCGACGCGCAGAGCCTAAAACGCCTGTGACTCGCGGCCTAATCGTATGGCAGGCTGTCTGATGTACTTTGGGGTTGCCTCGGCGACTTCAGGGAACGCCCAGGGACTGCGTCGCGATCGATGGTGTTTCACGGTATCGTTGTGATATCCTCGCTTCAAGGCAAGGGCGTCGCCAGAGGGGGCGGGGGAGGGCAGCGGCCCCCGTTTAGAGATGAAAAAAAGTAGCAAAATGCAAAGCAACCAGTCCAAAAACCCAAGTGTCATGGTTTTCTTGACCGATAATTGCTTATTACAATTATTGTGGTTGTAGAGGTAAGACAGTACAAGAGTAAAAGTTTATGTGCTCTGCACTATACCTACAATTAATAATTTTTTTATCCTTCATATGTCAACTTGCCCATTTCTGGGCCATCAGCTGGAGACACTCTTGTTTAAAGGGGCACGAGTCGGACGGAACTTGCTCGCTGCGTGATGTTACTTGTCATGGAGTGAGCTCAAGACTGACTGGAAGCACAGATTTCCCAACAAACGATGACGGGAGGGCAATAATGGAAGCATAGGCGACATATCCCGTCAGAGAACATGTCCACTTCCGAATCTTAATGAAATGCCCCTCTCTTTCGTCTTTCTTTGTCATTCAATAGTTGTTGCAATCCGGGCCAACAAGGGCATGACTGCGCCGAACATTCCCTCTTAATAAGTAAAATAGTATGAAAAGGGCCTAACTATGAGTCGCATCTGTTTTCTGAATACAAAATCAGCATCAGCAACCACAAATTATATGGAAACGACACCAAGAAAGGCAAAATCCTTCAAGTATGGAATTTCCAAATTTTGAATAAATTATTGAACGATTAACGGCCTATTTACACACCAGAAACTGTTTTAACTTCAATATAATATTTCTAGCTAGTAGTGCACGTCCAAATTAGCTGGAATCGACATCCGAAACATCACGCAGGGTTAAAACTATCAAATTCAAAATTTAACCGTTATTTTGAAAATACTCCAAATTTGGGGCCTAAGGGTCAGATATGCAACTTTTTAATGCCTCCATTAGCACCAGCGACCCTAAATCATTCAAAAACGACCCCTAGAATGCCGAAATTCGTCAATTTTTACAGGTTTAAAATCTTGAACACCCTTTTGAACAAAAGTGTTCAAATTTTGAACCCACACGAAAATTTCGATGGGTGCTGCGGGCCAAAAGTTTTATTTGGACCTAATAAACACGTGTACCGAGTTTCATGCTTTTGTCACAAAATGCAGCGAAATAGTACATTATACATATATCAAGGTAGAGAAGTCCACTATTATTGCCTGAGCACCAAGATTACATCTCGAGGCGCTTACGCCGAGGGGTGTAAGGTGCGAAGGCAATAATAGACTTCTCTACCGTGGTATATATACTATTTTTTTCACTACTAGCACCTGAAATCCTCTAAATTAACATATTATATTGATAAGAGAGTTAACGGTTGGACAGAATTGTTTGTTTCTTAATTTAACATGTCAATCAAGTACGTGGAAGTACAAGTCAAACAGGCCGTATTTTGTTCTATCATTGAGATATTTTCAGAGTAATTTCGTTCGAATTTTTTCAAATTGTGATAATTTTAGGTATGTAATTTCTCTGGAAATTGCGAATGGTGGCAATTATTCGTTTTAGAGAACTTGTCTAAACGTTCATTGAGCGAGATTTCGGGTTGAGTTTTCTAAAAGTGACAGCGTGACAGTTCTCATTATTGACTACTAGTTAATAATAAAAAATTATTAACCACTTTGAACAAATGCCGAGAAAGCCTACTTTACAAGTGGAAAAAAGGTTAATAATCATGTCATCAGACGCTAGTAGTGAAAAAAAATTTGTACCGCCTACGCTAACAGGAATATTCGACCTCTTCCGTATCTTCACTCAGAATTCAGATATTCGTGGAACGAAATAAAGCATTTTCGGGCAACGAAATGGGTGTACTGTCCAGCCTTAAGTAAAATATTGAAATAAAAGTCCTTAGGTTATTACTCATTCCTTTTCCTTGTCTGTCAGAATTGATTCTAAAAAAAACCCCATTCAATTAATGATAATTATTTAATTTGAGTTTGCTCATGTGCAAAAACAAATCAAAATACTATCATGAGCGCAAAACAATATATTTTTTTGGGTTCCTGGCATATCATAAAGCCAAATCTCCTCAAACAAATCATATCAAACTTTATTATGTTCTGGTCCCTGTACTACGGCCTTCACACCTATTTTATCTTCTCACTCGCTTAGATGTCCGTCTTCCTAAGAGGAGCATTTAGGAGCAAGAGACCGAAAGAGTGTGACAGAGAAAGAAGCAGTCGCCTCCGTGGGCACTCTCTAAAGGCCACTTTCAACTTTTTTCATTTCATTACTGCTCTTCTAGTATAAAAACAGTCACGTCAATAATCGCCGGTAGCCGCCCACTGCAAAACTGGTCGCTGTGAGGTGTACACAAATATATATTTTCATCTCTAGCTAGTACACCTTAGGATCCCTGAATTCCGTGTATGAACTTCGATTTTTTAATCGAACCCTGAAGGGTAGCTTGCGACCAATATAAAATAGACCAAATGTAACCGGTTTATTGGGTTTCATGTCTTGGAGCAAGAATACCTGAAATTCAAGGATCGGTATCCCTCTGTTTTGGTTTATTCTGTTACCCAACCGATACTTATATAGGTATATCCATACATCCCTCTTGATTATGTGCCATAAAATAAAATAGAAATTTGTCGTTAATTCTAATTGTAATGACTTACCTGTACGTAAAAACCGCTTTTCTGGGAGCATCGCATTGTTTAATGCATTTGGTAAACACACCCAATAAAAGTTATGATCGCATTCGTCTCTGAAAACGCAACGAAACACTGCAGCTACTAAATATGAAATCAATTTAAATACGATTGTGAGGGCTTCCTGCGCTACGATTTCTACAGGGAAATCATGCCAAGGAAATGTCTTGCCGCACCAAATTTTATAGCTGGTAGTAGTATAGTAGGATTTTTTTACTATGCGAGACATAATATGAAACGTTTTATTACATTGATTTTATAATCTAAAGCATTGTAAGAATTATATGCGAGAGAAGGGATGTCTAATTAATTTATGCTATTTGGGATATAACGTGGTTTTTAGGGACTTACCGCCTAAATCTCGAAAATAATTAAAATGTAGGCAGCGGACGACGTGCAAAAACAAACGTTACTCCATTGCATGACTAGGTACTTAATTTAATCAGCTTTAATGGGAGTTACATGGCAATGATTTTATTACGCTTACACGATCACTATCTCATCGACAAGAGGAACTTAATTTTTCGCACGAACCAGCTTTTATTGGTCGAAGTGACTTCTTCAAGTCTCTTCACTTTGAACTGCCTCCAATCCGCTCGAAGATACGAATTCTGCGGTCCCCAAGATTTAAAGCTTAGCGACTCACGTACGGCCTACACAAACGATCAAGTATTAATTGCGGAATTTTTACTGTTTTGACCTTACTTGCTTAAAGCCCATTTTTCTGTTAGTGAATAAAAATATGATCCAATGAAGGACTGGTTGTAAAATCCCCAAAGCGAACAACGACCACCCTACCACTATCAAGAGAAACGTCATGAAACAAAAGAAAATGCCTCGGACATGCACTTACTCATTAACATCTTAGGAACTTCGTATTTTCCATTTTTTAACGGTTGCATACTTAACAAGCAGTACACAAAAACAGCAATCAGTATAAGTGGGGTAATAAGGCTCCAGCAAATTCTCCAATATGATCCTACTCTCCTTTCACACATGAACTCTATATCCAAACATACGTTTTCTACGCCTGTAACATACTGCTTAAAGTGTTTCTCTGCTCAATACTTTACTCACCATACCACCAACATATGGCCAGCATCTCTAGTATTACTAGTGCAAAGGGAAGAAAAGTACCCAAAAAGTAATCAACCGTGACTAGCACAAATTCTCCGCCCTAAAAGGTAGAATAAAATTCCGTTCACAAAGATTTTCATAAGCGCTAGACTGTCTTTCATATGAAAGGAATCTGTTGAGTTATTGAACCTTAGTTTCCTTTCAAGTTTAAAAATATATCGATCGTTTGACATCTGAGGTATGGTACAATAAGTAAATGAGACAACGTTTCCCCTTTAAGATACAAATTTATTCCTTGTTGGTAATTTTCATAGATCAAGACTACCTTCAACAAAAATTTATAGCAATTTCTTATACAAATCAAAATGATTACGGTGCGATATTTTCTAGAATCAGGGCTTCCTTTCTTGAATAGATAGCGCCTTAGAGCTGGACAATTTATAAACTACAAAATTGGATCCATTGGGGGAAATACAGTTCAAACTTTCTTCAATCTTCCTCGTACTATTACGTTTTATTGTATAGAAATAATTGTGCAATGATTTTTTAATCTCTAATCGAATAATGCACAGGGTGTTCCATTTACAGTAATCAAATTTTGGTGTGCCACGTGTTTATAACCCACCCTGTGCAATTGAAATTATCAGCGACCCTGGCAACACGTACCTGCATATTAATTTACAAGCAGCAATACATCGTCGTCGATATGTAACATTAAGTATTGTTGTAACAACTTCAGTGTTGCCAACATAAATGAAACACTCGATTCTTTAGAAAAAAACACTTGTGAACGGAATGTAGGCTGAACACTTACCGGTGTGACGTACACTAAACCGAATAGAAACCCCACCAAGCATATCGCCGCGGACACGTACCAATCTTCAACCATTGGGTACACGTCTTTAATTGCCGATAGGGCGCATACGTTTGTGCCAATCAAGCTACCGATCCCAAGCACGAAGAGCATGGCGAAGAACAGGATGGCGAAAAGCTGCGAACAAAATTGCTAGGTTGCGGCCACGATTCCTAAGTACTCTACCAACCCATGGAACATGTTTAAAGCGGGAAATGGCATCGGGGTAGGAGACAAAGGCGAGCTTCGCCCCACCACCTGAGACGACGTCGTTCACTTCAACTTTGAGAGTGTGTGCGAGGTTTCCGAGAACTCCAAAAATGGTTATTCCGGATATTAGGGACGTGATCGTGTCGATGGTTGTAACTATCATGGCGTCTCTGTAGACGTTATGCGTAAAGCAGTTGTACGATGCGTACATTACTAAGTTTCCGCTTGCGATGGCCAGCGAGAAGAAGCACTGGGTAATTGCGTTGTACCACACTTTCGGTTCGACGAGCATCTTCCATTGCGGTTTGAGGAAATATAGGATACCATTAACCGATCCTTCGAGAGTGACGGTTCGGATTAAAAGAGTGCACATAATGACGCATGGGAAGAGTGCCAAGAAATATGCTGCTTTCCCCGAGCTGCGTATGCCTTTGATGGTTATCAGAAAGAGCACACTCCAGGTGACTAGTAAAAATATTGAAAGTTGTAAGTCGGGCAAACCTATTCCATTATTGATATCGGTCGTCTGTTTCAATACCGCATTCCTGAAAAGCACTTTGAACCAACATATATTTTTGGGTAATACTTACGTGTACCACAATTCGGATGAACTTATAGACTGAATACTTCGATTCTTTGCAGCTTTACCTACTGACACACACTCACTCATGTCACTCTCCCATTCTGGTTTACAATGTGCCCAAGGGAAATCTGAAGTGAACGAGTGATACATGTAAAAAAGGGTTATTGAGATTAGCGTACAATAGTAAGTACCAACTCCGCTAACCCCCAAAATTTGCCCAGCTCCGATTCCTAGAAGAAAAGTATTACTAGTGACCACACTGGATGCATACCAACCTTTCAGTATAGGCGCAAGATGTGCGTAAAGTTCTACGGGTTGTTTACTTGAAAATTGTCCTATAACCGTTTCCAAGTAGTAGACAGGCTTGCCCACAAGAAAAAGGCACACAATGTAAGGCAACAAGAATGCACCTCCACCATTTTCATACGCTGTGAACGGAAAGCGCCACACATTTCCTAGTCCTATAGACATCGCAATGCAAGACATTAAAAACTCTCCACCACTGTTCCATGTTGGCCTTTCGCTAATAGTATCTTCAGATGACATCGTCTTGGGAAGAAATCTCTTATTAAACGGGAGAGTTTATTATTATCTTACGTCAGTTGACATTTTGCGTATGCTTTTATGTCAATAGTTCGTCTATTATCAAGCAAACACACTTGCTAATCGCTGATCTTAGTGTTTGTATGATCTCTTTCATGGAAGCCCGGCCTTGCAAGTTGCGGCGTGCAATGCAAAACGTTAGCAATAAAATTTTTATTACATTATTACTATTATATATCAGTCGTCTTCTCGCCTTAATTTAATGCCCTGAAATTAAGTGCAATTAACAAACGTGCCGCTCAAAAATTCACTGCACATAAGACGAAGGCAATAAATCGAATTACTTTTTTACGTTTTTATAATACGCTTATAAAGTATGAAACGAACTTCATTATCCATTTAGTTTAAACCCTCGACATATAATAAATGGACTGCGCGTGTCAATGATAAACACGGACACTGCAGGTGAGAGAGATGGGAAAACTAAGAGGGCAAGCTATCTCTTACGGTTACGCATCTGATTGGTTCTTTCAATTTAATTTATATACGATCGCGATCGCTTTTGTTGAAAGAACCAATCAGATGCATAGCCGTAAGGGACAGCTTGTCCTCTTAGCTTTCCCTTCTCTCTCATCTCTCATCTCTGCTTAGCATTGGCACGCGCAGTCCATTTATTATATGTCGATGGCTTAGACACATAACATGAGTTTGTGTAATAATGTGGCTTTTGAGGAATTATATTTGTTATCTCATTTATTGGTTAGGGTTGCATATTTTTTGCTATTGTAGACGTCGATCTTTTTTGTTGCCCTCATCGCACATCATATTCTGAAAACGCAGGTCGACTCTTCACTTACGAAAACGTATCTACGAGTAGTTGAACAAGTCTATTGTGCACTTCAATAATAATAATAATAATAGTTAAGTCAAGTTATAACGTTGGTACTCCCTAGTTTCGCTATACATTATATAAGGGGTGTTACGTCAAAATACGAAAAAAAAAACCTTTGAGAAAGTAAAGGAGCTGTTTATTTGTCAGCTTTATTAATTTTTTGTACCTTGACTACCCCAGATGCCTACTACCCGCACAATCCCATGCTGGCAAGCTACGTAGGTTTTTCCCACTTTTCTTTCAACCATTTATTCTTTATCATTCCCGAATGCACAATCAAAAATTCGAGATTTTACGTTTCACTCTTCTTTGTTTGTGAATCCCTTTTTATTTCGTGTTAGTTTTACCATTTACTAATTCCTCTTTCCCATTGTCTTCCTGATATTAAATTTTCTTCGCTAATGACGTTTTGTGGTCCCAATTTTGCTCAATAAGAAATGGTTCGGCGTCAACACTTCTTCAGTTTCGAGGTCCATCAGCACGTACGTTAAAGGTCTCGAAGTTATTATATTTCCGATTCCGATAAAAGCTGTAGCCCAGACGTCTTCTCTGGGAACCTTTTCCTTTAGAATTTTAGTTAAAGTTTTTCTAACCGAATAAATTAAACTCTCCCAGCACCTCCCTCCGTAGGCCAAGCTGACCTTCCTACATTGTGAACAGTATTCAAACATATCAAAAGCGTTTTTCGCGTACAATTTCTCGTTTTTATTCCACATTGAATTTCTCGCATACATAAATCTTCGTGACATTCTGGGCATTTCTGCAAATATTTCCCTTCTGTGGTTTTCCCGATTAACTCTTTAGACTTGTACCCCCTTTTACGACTCTTTCCGTCTACGTTATAAAATTGTTTGCCACTATCGTATGACATTGTTGGTAATATTTGACTCCTCCTCAAGCAATTTTGATGTGTTTAGCAGTTTATGTTTTCCTTTCATATTCCTTTTCCATCTGTTTTGCATTGAAACGAGCATTTCTCTTGCATACCGATCATCTTTAAACGAAAAGTAACACTACAGAAATACAAATTCAAATGAAAAAAAACCAATTCTGTGGTAATTCGTAAATAACCCCATTACTTTACTAAATTGAAAAACTTATCATAAACAAGGTATCCCGCCATTATTTTAGGTGTTTAAACCGAAATAACTTCTACATGAGGCTGTTTACACAACAATATATTTACTTTCAGGCATCAGAACAACGCCTTTGGATCGAGTAGAAACAATACTGTATAACTGGTAAATTCAAAGCTTAGATACGCGTGTCATTCCTAAATTCAAGGATATCTCCAGAAAATTGCACATGCGATCACATTGTAATAGAAGCAAACTTTCTTTACCGAGGTGCGAAGTTACTCTGTAACAATAATAGCGTGTGATTCATTTGCCAAACAGGAATTTAATAAAGCGAGTAAATCCTTGAGATTCCCCTCTACGAAGTTCTTCGTCTTTGAATATCGTCCAAGCTTCATAAAGCTCGGGGTCATCGGGCCCAAAGTTATCACCACGGAGTACTACATGTACCATCTACAAAACCTAAAACTTTTAACGTCCACGCCATTTCCCACAAACCGACCTGAACGGAAGTCATATGTTTTGACTTGTAGCAATAATAGGCAGTCCAGCTTGGAATCTGCATAATTCCAATAAAAACTATGAAATACCGCACACCTGCAAATAAATAGTCAAGTGTAGAAATTTTGTTTGAGGTTAATTACCATGGTAAGGTGCACTATGATCGCAGACTAAACTGTGTTTCGCAAACGAAAGGTAGTAGAAAACCAATATTAAAATGATTGGAATTGCAATCGCCCACATCATCCGCCAGTAAACACCAACTTTAGTTTTCTGCATGTACTGGAGGTCTAGGCAAACACTTTCGATTCCTATCACTCTAAAATTACATTCTGAGGTTCGAAGTCGTATCCACTTACCATATCCGTAAGTCAAAGCCAATAACTCGCATATATTGGTAAATAAAGTTATCACGATCATGCAATCTTTATCGATTAGCTCTATGAGATGCGTTCCCACCTGAAAGCACCTAGTTTTAGGTTTATCGTTTACTAATCTATAATACCGATGTTATAAACAGTAATTGTAGCAAAAAGCATCCCACGGTGCACATGAGCACAACCCGCCAGTGCAAAAGGTCCGGATACCAGTAAGATACAAACATGACGAGTACGTTGTTAAGTTTTATTACGCATAATAGGCATAGCGTATAAAATGTAGTGAACAAAATCAAACTCAGTATCTATAAACTGTTACGATTAGTGGGGAGTGTCACATGGGCCGGATACATACAGGTATGAAATAATGGAACTGATTTATGGCTATTGGGTACAAGACAAAGGCAAGATTAATATCGCGCCCTTCGAAAAGATCACTTATGTTAACTTTCAACGCGTACGATAGGTGACCTAGTATTCCGAATACTGCGGCACCAACCAGAGCACAGAATAAGCAATCCAATGCAACAACCATTACGGCAACTCTAAAATCACGATGTACTCACATTGGAGGTTAACGACATCGCTAACCTTTTAGCATTGAAGTGGAAGGAACTTCGAGCGGCACACGCGGAAACCGTTCCAAATCCGAAGCTTAGCGAGAAAAAGCACTGCGCAACTGCGTTGGCCCATACCTGTAATTCACTATAAGTCAATTCAAGTACATTAAGCTACCTACATCCACTTGTTTCAAATTCGAGAGGTCATGGGAGAGAAAGTAATTGATTCCTTCCGATCCGCCCCTGAGAGACCAAGCCAGTCCACACAATACAAGCTTACAGATCATCGGGAACAGTATCGCGACATGAACGAGTTTGCCTACTCTAACATGGGAATTTGCTAGGAAATTAATCAAACACGCTGACACTAGTAGGCATGCACATAACTCCCACCTGGGAAAAATGCTGTCGGGTAGTACCATTTTTCTGAAGGCAACTATGAAGTATGACGTCGCTGGGGTTTAGGCACTACTTAAAAAATATTTCCGTGCTAACCGAGTAGTTTTTGTATGGGTTAGTGTAGACAATGGATTTGGCCGGAACACACTGGACATCTTCCGCATCGCACGTACTCCAAGGGAGAGTCCAGTGAGTTAGCGAATTGCCAATATATATCAATATATAGGCCAAGATCACCGAATAGTAGATAACTGCGCAAAACGCAGTGTAAGTCTCAGACGCTGCCACACCTGCAACCCAGTAGGAATTGAGAAATCAGTTTCTGAACGATTTACCTGTATAGCCATATCCAAACTGCGAAAAGAGATGCACATTGGCTTTGCTCGCAAATTGTCCACGTGCCAATTTGAGGTACAATAACGGTACTCCAATTGTGGCTGCCACAATTAGATAGGCGCACCAAAACGATCCGCCTCCGCCTGTGTAAAGTGCGTAAGGATACCTCCAGAGACCGTTAATTCCAACCGATGGAATCATGCAATGAAATAAAAATTCGAACTCGTTACTCCAGCCGTACCTGGCCATTTTTAATTGGTACGCAGAGTTGTCAATTTTAACGTCAGGGCTATACAACGAAAAACCTTTGACAAGTCATGGAGCGATGTGTCAGTTTTTTGAGTTTGCAGAATTAGCTTCACTAAATATGTTTTCCTTTGGATGTAGAAATCAGCACCTCAGTGAATTGTGGACATTAAAAGAATTCAAAGGGAGAGGTGGTTACAGTAACTGCATGATTTAGAGATAGAAGTTAATCTTCAAACTATCACAATTAGATCGAAAATTAGGTACCTGAAAATTAAATTTGAAACTTTCTATTTTAAGTTGATTGCTTGCAGATAATAATTACGAGATAACAATAAAAAATGAATACAATGGGCACGTTCAGCCGAATTCAGCCCTTACACTGTGTCCAGCGCCCAATTTCAGGAGATTAAATTGGCTGAATGCATTGTTAGTAATACCGTTCCGGAAGGACTGCCAGACGATGTAGGTGATCACTTTCGCAAACACACGAAAACTAATCGCGGTTAGTTTTCGTTTTATAATGATCTGGGAATAACTGGGTTGCAAATCTTAATATTAAAGCGCTTGCGCAATTCTGGCACCTCTTCTAAAGTTTGAAACCACTAAAAAAATAGTAGGTACATATCTATTAGACTCTGCCAAATCGTCGAGATAAAAGTATTTTGCTCGGAGTAGGAATTTTTACAAGATCGGTTAGGGTAACCCAACATCTTATCCAATGAAGTGCCTTTCTTTTTGATAGCTATTACGGTATCGAGAGAAACATTATAAAGAAAAAATGTAAGGGTAGTTTCCAAATGAACCATTTGAGACACTCGGTATATTTGCAAATATGCTCGTTTTTGTCTCCTCTACCACCCGATTTTGTTTTCGCAAAACTCAAATATATCACCTGTATATAAAATGCATACATAAACATTAGTTGTTAACTGAAATCAATTAGTTCATGTACTTTTTGCATGAGGAAGTCACAAGCGACCCGTGTCTTACATTAATTACCAAACAGTCAAATTGTAAATTAAGATCGTGGGATTGTTTACAAGGAAACTTAAACAAAAGTGGCGGTTTGGTACCTACTTTCCCGTTTAACTTTCACTTGTACTTTAAATAAAACGAAAACGGAATTCTAATTAAGTAGGTACTTACAGGGAGACTTTAAATAATCTTAAATTGTCGAAGTTTTAATTCACCTTGCGGCGTCCCTTGAATTTTCTTGTTAAAGCGGTGTACCGTGAACGTTTATTTTCCCATTAAAGTTTGCTAAAATTTGATGAAAACTGTTCGACCGTATTTCAATAGATTCGTAACTAAGATAATTTTATGTATCTTGTACGATCAACCAATTCCAATTGTAAATTATATCCTGATGTTTAAGTGAATTGCCCAAAATCCTAGCAGGTACCTATGTTATGCAAAGGGGGTTGTTTGCTTATAATCTCAACTTTCTACCTCAAATTTAATAACATGAAAATAAACAGCGTAATTAAGTTTGAAGGAAGGGAAAATGTACATCTTCTGAAACGGTTTAGTAGACGGAGACTTACGAGTAAGCACCCACAAATGTATAACTTCTGAAAATGAGAAACTATCGCTAATTTCTCTCATTTTGATCGTAAACCCATAACTAACAAAGGAATAACTTATTTTTTCAACGCAAAATATAGTAAAATTATTAAATTAATTAACACATCATTTTCCTTAATTTGCAATTCAAATCTTTTGCAGAAATATTTTGTTAGCATAGCTACAGTATCACTTGTGTTGTGGCAAATGTCATGTTTTAAGAGCGGTACAGGCAATGATTAATGATCGCTCTGTACTATATTACTACGATTATTTGATAGTATGATTACAAGACTTGAAATCTGTAAAGAATCTGAAGAATCGTGATCCTAGAAAAAAAGGAACAAGTCGCATCTGTCATCTGTGATACCTACCTGTTAAAATTATAGAACACCTCTATATTAGTACAGTGTTTGTCGTGATGACCAGTAGGAAACTATGCAACGAAAATATTCCGTTATGATGTACACTTCTATTTTCCTTTTCATTGAGCAATTCGTGTCTACTGGAACATGACAGTTCGAGTATAAGATGATAGGGTAGTACATTACATCGTCTCAAACAACGACTGTTATAGTAGTTGCGAAGTTGAATTTCTTCACAAATGTAGAATATGAAGGGTGACGTTAATGTATGATTTAGGGTTCGTTCACTTTATTATAAGCAATTCCCTCGGAAGCCTTAATGTTTCCTCAAGCTGTAAACAAATATCTCACATTTCGTCCTTTTTTAAGATCAATAAACCCGGCCTCGGGTCCTATCATCGACTAAGCAAAATGTGCTACATAAACCTCGGGGCAATCAAATTAATAAGATTAGAGCCATACAAAATAGTGAGACGTAACAAAAGCGCGAAGCCGTATATGAATACGGAATCAGACGGGAATGCCATTAGAAATATTATTAGAAAACTTATTACGGCTAAACAAAAGCCTTCGTACCACCCATTTGCACTCTCACTTTAAAGTGATGGCGGAAAGTGGGTTAATCGCTGTGCAGACGTGGACAAAGGGTGAAATTAGAGAAACGTAGGGCTTGAATGCCATTTATGAAATTACTTCTTCCTTTTAAACGTGAATGTATTTGGAAGATGCCGGTTACAGAAAATGAATTAATTACAAGCTAGGAAACGTATATACAATGGGGACGGAATGGGTTTCCCCTAGGGAAAATGCAGAAACAGTTTCGTCTAGGCTGCAAGAGAACATAGGATTATTTACTCTACTCCCGTGTTTGCTATTGTCGTGTATACTCCATTGAAGCAAGTTTCTAGCTAGAAGGTATCTAACTACCCTAATTAATTTGTTTATGCAATATCATATGAATTAAGTAAGTTGTACGTACCATTTATTTCAGTGTATGTACAAACCCACAGTATTGCACTTTTTATTATTTCTTCGGAAATTCGTAATAGTTTCGATCTGGGACAATTTTTTCTTCGGGGCTCAGAAAAAGGCAGTGTATTACCTTCCTTTTTTACCAAAAATCGACTACACCAAAATTTCTCGGAAAAACACTTTTTCTTATTAATTTTGGTGCGTAGAATCCAAGTCAATTCGTACTTTTTCGATCAGACCTCTTAATCAAAAGTTATAGACTAGAAACCAATTTCGAAAAAAAATTCAAAGGGCTCTAACTTTTGAACTAGTAGCCCAATCTTGGAACTGTTTGAAATTATGGATTCTACAGGCCACATTCTATAAGAAAAATTTTTTTCCGGATCGATCTGAGACAATTTTTTCTTCGGTGCTCAAAAAAAGGCAGTGTATTACCTTCCTTTTTTACCAAAAATCGACTACACCACAATTTCTCGGAAAAACACTTTTTGTTATTAATTTGGGTGCGTAGATCTTTTTGAGATCAGACTTTTTTCAAAGGGCTTAACGGTGCTCAAAAAAAGGCAGATCGTATTAGGCAGTGTATTATCTTCCTTTTTTACAAAAAATCGACTACACCAAAATCGGACTTATCAACGTAGAATCCAAATCAATTCGTACTTTTTCGATCAGACTTCTTAATCCAAAGTTATAGACTAGAAACCAATTTCGAAAAAAATTCTTATTAATTTGGGTGCCTAAGTGTTTAGTTTCTGTTTTTTGAGGTACTGTAGCATCATTAATTCTGACCTTTACAGTAGTACAATAGTAAGTTTTGTATTCTCTGCTTTTGGTTCTTTGCCACTTTCTCCATGCCCTACGTTTCGCCGCAACAGTCTCTTATATGATGAATATTGAACGAGAAACTGGGTAGTTACTCATTTATTTAAAAACTAAAAGGGTTTGTCCAAAAGTACTTTTATGTTGACATTTCTACCTTTAAATTAGTAACTTTGCCCTAATTTAACTCACATTTGTTCCCCGTAAATTAGCTTCCTTCCTAAAAATCGAGCTACCCTATTTGTTGCTGTAAGGGGTGATGTAATTAGCATTGATCGATACTTGTTGCAAAGAGAATGATAAAGCGATAAAGTTTAAGCGGTGTAGCCTGCCAACTTTTAGTCGGCTTGTCCGTCGGTTTAAAGAGTTTTGAAAGGATTGTAAATCTGCACCTCGAGTTTGTAGAATTTCAGCATAAAGCTTCGGAGGAAACAGAATCGAAAGCTTTTGTTACAGGGGGTAGTGAAAATTCGTTTGGCCTTCAATAACAGCTTTTTGCGGTAACTCATTCCTTACTCTTCGCTTTAATATTGTGGAAAATCCCGTGAATAATCTACATCAGGGTAGCGAAAAAGAAGCAGGCGCGAAAAAAAATGAAGAGCGACAGGAGAAGTAATTTATTATTAGCGTAGTAACAAAGTGTACTTTTTTTTAAACGTTTAATTATTCAGAAACAAAACAACTATTAAAATACCGGTGTTTACGATTTGTCGATGCTTCTTTTCAAATATTGTAGTTTGCATCTCGTCCTGAGACACGACGTTAATGACTGCGAGACAAAGAAAGTAGATCTTACTTCCTCACGTGGCGATAGTAGCTAATGAAACCGCAGTGATAATTTTTGTTCTGTTGGCTGGTTCCATTTTCTTTAAAAACTATACTTTTCTCCTTACAATTTCAGATTCGACGTGTACGTTCATTATGGAGTTAGTTCTCCTCTCAGGGGTGGTAAAAAAAATTTATACGAACCACGATAGTATTGTTTTGTTAATCTATTTCTTACCTTTCTCTAAAAAAATTTAATTTCCCCCTTATAATTTCAGAGATACATAAACGCGATCCCCAAATTTATAAGAAAGCACAAACTTTCTAGAGGGCAAGTGCACATATAAATTGAATTTGTAGAGAACTCGTGATTGCCTCTGTTAAAAAGAGTTGGCTATGTGATTTACCTAAACGTAAATCCAGCATTTGAAGTTTTCAGTTTTTCTAGCGTTTTGAGTCCATGAATAAAAATTAATTTTTTAGAGCTTTAATATCGGAATAGCGTTTGGCCCTTGCGTTGTATCTCCTCGCTCCGTAGAGATCGTTCACTTGGAATTTACGAGAAATACTCCACGAAATCGTGTAAGTAGCAAGGTAATATGAGGTTGAGGGTTTGCGTGACATTTCATGAATATGGGGCTTTAAGACCTTTTCCTCGGTTCGTTGATCGTGACAACGGTCACGAAAATTTACATACTAGGACTCGGGACGGTGGATTTTACCCACGTGATATTTGCGAATGATAATAAATTACGATACGATTGGATAAATATATGTATTTGATATACGGGTTTTCCGGTAACTCCGGGAAACCAGCAGGTGTCAGAGAAGAACATGCGCGAGCCGGTTTTCCCAGATTGTACTCCAGTGCTCGGTGAAAACTCTGCCGGTTCATATTGTTTCCCTTCCAGCAAAATTTACGCTCATTCATAAATTATTTCACCTCGCTCAATTTTAGAGGAAAAAAGGACAATCCGT